CCTTTAGAATATTTGGACGCTTTTTGAGAAGAAATTAGTCATATTTAGCATTCTAGGAAGGGTCACGGTTATGTTAGTCACAAGAACTTGTGGGTGGGGAACCCCACGTGTCCCCCAGGCCCCTACACAGATCTACCTCTTTAATATTTTGATATTTATATCCCTGATATTGAGTCAACAATGGCCAGTTCTTAGTTCAATAGAGAGCAAGGATATTACATGAATTAAACCCAAGGAAATTTGAAATCTAATGCTGTCATTATTATTTACATCTTTTTAGTCATTTTCAAATGTGAAGCATTATACATGTCTATAACACAGATCTCGTGAACTAGGAAAGTTACAATTAGAAGAAACTTATTAAATCAAATTTTGAATAAATGTTAAGCATGCATCCATATTTTTTCCCCATTTTAATAAATATTAGATCCTTTTCTCTAAATATATAAAACTTTTTTTCTTTTCATTTCTCAAAAAAAAAAAAAAAAGTTTAAGTAAAATGTATATCACTGAAATTGCCTGTATATTCATTGAAATATTTTAATCATCATCTACTTTTCAGCAAGTGGTAAGGCCTGTAATTATGTAATTATACCAATTTTATGAATAGTCATGCATATAATTTCTATTTAATAGAATTCATTGATTGATAATGTTGAAACTAATGATATTGATAACGATTCAGGGTTAAAATATTTGACAGCTTTGTTAAAGTTGAAAATCTATTAATCATATAATACTGTCATAGATTATAATCTCATGATTAATACATGATTTATGTATATCTTATAGCGCGTCTAATATAATGTCCTAGCTACTTATAGGTTATGTAAAAACTAGAATAAAATAGAATTAAAGAAAAAAGAAGATTAAAGAAAATAGAAAAATAAAGTAAAACAAAAGCAAACATAAGTATAGTGATGTCCTTTAGCTTGTTTAGTTAAAAAAGTTTACTGTATCTAGCGGTGAAACAATTGTTCAACATTTTGCCATATTTACTTATTAAACTAGCTGGGCTGTTTCAAATAAAATGATTGATGGGTCAAAATTTTTGTTATAATGATGCACAAATATTTATGTTGTCCATTATCTCAAACACTTTTTAAAATACTTTGTAACTATAATCAAGACAAAGGGCATGCAAATATTGACTACTGTACATTTTTGGATTTAAAATACTTTGTAACTATAATCAAGACAAAGGGCATGCAAATATTGACTACTGTACATTTTTGGATTTAAAATACTTTGTAACTATAATCAAGACAAAGGGCATGCAAATATTGACTACTGTACATTTTTGGATTTATGCCCCTTTTTTCAAATTTGTCAAAATTGTTATGTAGTATGATTTGTAATTTTATCAAGATAATCAACATTTGAACTTGGAATATTTGATTAATTAGACAATTAAAGGGAAATTATTCCAGACACAATATTTTTGGAGTTATGTTCTGTTTCAGCTTAAATTTTTTGTAACAATAAGTCATTGATAAATCTTTTTAAAAGATACCCTGTCTTGGCATACTTGCTAATGAGTACATTAGGTACATCTGTAGAACAAGGGACATAACTAGGTAATTTCAATTTATTTCTAAAAGTGTACTTCATGTTAAACATGTCACGGAAAGTAATTGAACTTTTATACAAATATACCAGTATCTTGAACATTCACAAAGTTGTTCATAATTCTAACTGAAAAATGAACAGCCTGATAACACTGTTGAATTCTGAGTTAATTCATAATAATTTAAGTTGTTGAACATAACTAACCAATGTTCACTTGATTTGCATGTCTTGCTCTGGTCATCATTAATCCCTTTCCCCATAGTGGGGAGGGGATTATAGGAATGGCCTCTGTCTATCAGTCCATGTGCCTGTCCGTCTTTCTGTCCGTAACACTTTTATGTCTGCTTCATAACTTTAAAACCGCTGAAAATTTCTGGAAATAACTTGACAATAAATTCTGCAGTAGCCAGCAATTTTACCTGGTGCTGGGGATTAATGGTTAGAAATAATTATATAATAATAAATAACATGTAACTAAATATCTGTCAAAATGCAGGTATATCACAATATATATTTGTAAGTTAAACAGTTTACAATGTCATCTGATGAATCACGTAGTAAACGTAATTACAGTCTTAATGGGAAATGTGCATGTCTAAACTAATTATCAATTATTTGTGAAAGTCAAACATATTTTACAAAATTTATGGTAGAAATCCAGTAGATGTCATGTAAATGACAATAATGTATATGGGCTACCTAAGTATAATTACATAGACTTGTATGTGTCCGTGTGTGTCTGCCTGGGTGAGACTGCTTTATCAATTGTTAGACCTACTCATTGTTTCCCACTGCCACTAGTATATTCAATAACAATCTGCACTGTCCATCAAGTGTGACCAAGTTACTCAGTTTTATCCCTTAATCTTATAATGATCATGTCCAAATATAAAGGAGGAAAAGTCCATAACAGAAGATTAGGTGTTACCAGGGTGTACAATATCTAATCTGTTTTAAATCTTCTTTTGTTTTTAACAAATTGAGCATTAAACATGAATGAGGTTTTCGGTTTTGAATTGTATTTTGTTTTGTACTGATATACCCGAACAATTGTACAACTTGTGTTAAACAAAAGCATGATTCTTCTTCTTCATGGGAGTAAAGTTGAATAGGTGCTGTTACTGTTAAAAGGGTAGTAGTGTAAGTATAAATGTGTTTTTGTAATCTTTAAAGATGCCAATTACTTTTGACGGATTTGTTCGTTTTATGGTAAATAAAAATCTTTTCATTCTTTTGCTTTTTTTGCTTACTGAAGTTTAGTATTGCTAATGTATTAATTGATTCAATTGTGATAAAGGGTAAATAACTTAAATGAACTTTTCCATCTTTTAATTTAGTTAAAACCATTCGTCATTAACAGGGAAAATTTCAAATACTCACTGAATAGTGAACAGGTCAGAGCATGATGGTTAGCACTGTAGTTAGATGGTCACATGTATAGAACCTGTAGCCATCAGTTAGCACTGTAGTTAGATGGTCACATGTATAGAACCTGTAGCTATCAGTTAGCACTGTAGTTAGATGGTCACATGTATAGAACCTGTAGCCATCAGTTAGCACTGTAGTTAGATGGTCACATGTATAGAACCTGTAGCCATCAGTTTGCACTGTAGTTAGATGGTCACATGTATAGAACCTGTAGCCATCAGTTTGCACTGTAGTTAGATGGGTTCACATGTATAAGAACCTGTAGCCAAGTCATTATTGAGGTTGTTTGATGGTCCCTTTTTTGAAAAAGATGGTCACATGTATAGAACCTGTAGAAAAAAAATACCCCTTTTTAACCCATTAAAAAATCCATTAAAAATTTAGATGTGATTTATAAATTTACATTGATAATGTATTGACTATGTTCCACTTCTGTATAGTAGAGCTATTATGTGTTCTGTAGTTAAATTAGTAAATAAACATTGGATTCTGGAAATGATTTATTATTTCCCAGCTTATATACCTCTAGTATAAATCAAGTCATACCAACATGATCATGTCCATCATTTTAACATCTCTCACACAAATTTTACAATGATAAAATGTTTAATTGGGCATCTAAGTATATTAATTATTCATATTGCAATCCAACAAAGTGATTTCTGCAATGTTTTAAAGTTATATACTTTACATACTTTTAATTGAGAAAAACCATGATAATATAACGTTTATTATAGCCGAGTTTACAAAAACTATGCTGTCTAAAGAGTGACCATGCATGTACCGGATTTTAAAAATAATTTCTGATCACAATTGTAAACACACACTGTTCCGCGTGTAAGAATCTTCAGTCAAAAATCATTATACAGTTTAATACTTTAAAATTTTGAACAATACTGCACTTTACAATTTTACGATGGCTTGAAATTGTCAAACAAAAATCAATCTGATTTTCAATTGAATATTCAGAATTCAATTAAGCGAATCTCATTTACTATTGTTCAGATGTAGAAATAACTATTTTTCACTTTGAAAATCTTGAAAAACAAATTTCATTATTCATAATGTGAGCTGAGGCTAGATAAATGTGTTTTTTGTACTGTTGTATTCGTGAATGGAATAAATTAAAAGTTAGCTTGGCGTCATCTTTTTTTCTGTTGTTGAATGCTAGTCAAGATTACCTTTCACAATATTATTTCATTTTAAAAGATGATTTGCATTTTGTAAAAAGAATAGTTTATATTTTTATGCTGATGTCAATTAACCCAATATAAATTCAGTAGTGACATTATTAAGAAAGCTGCACAGAGATTTAAGATTTACTAATGTATTTATCTATTAACAAGGCTTCTCAACTTTTGTGTTTTGTCACTCGAAACCCCTAAGAAATGTAAAATCAAAGCAGGGTTAGTATGCTGAATTTTGATGGAAAGCTAGTTAAAGATTCAAATGGCAATAATCTGGAGTAAGTCTCCAAATGGCAATAATCTGGAGTAAGTCTCCAAATGGCAATAATCTGGAGTAAGTCTCCAAATGGCAATAATCTGGAGTAAGTCTCCAAATGGCAATAATCTGGAGTAAGTTAGATTATATATATTCAAATACTGCAGACACTGTAAGTAGAAAACACATAGCATCCCTGTTTTACAATTAAAACAGGTCTTTCATGATAGTCAGACAGTTTGTCAACTAACATGTCAGCTACATTCAGAAAAAGCTGAAATTTAAAAATATTTTATTATTTATATAATGATCATAATTAAATCATTTATAATGTTTAATGTTGAAAGAAAAAAGCTACACATATGATTTTAGTTATTGTTTATGATGCATATTATACTAGAAATTGCAAATATATTGTATGCAGTTATTTAATTTAATATAAACAATTTTTTGTTATAACTGTTAAATATTATTTCTTATTAAGTATGTGGTTATCACTATAAATTAAATTATATGTAATTGCTCTGTCTAATCTAAATATGACTTCAAACGTTTCAGGGTTACCAATTGCTGTTCAGTCATATTACCATTTTACACCTATACTGAACATATTTAATTATAGGTAGATGTTTTTTTTGTCAATCCCAATGTGACTTAATTAATCATTTACTTAAATTTATTTGCTGTTAATTGTTATTATAAAATAGTGAACTATTACGTTGTTGTAATGTTCAATCTTATAACTTGATCTGTAACTATTTTCTGGTGTGGTTATATTATCATGGTACACCTATACTTGGCAGTGAATAGTTGGAACAATATTTATTTTGACGTTCAACTGGGACTACTTGACTAATGTAGTAAATGTGTTAATATAATTTGGTATTTTGATATAAAAGTCACTGTGTATAAAATATTGGAGTGGGGAAAAGTGTTGCTTTTTTTTCTTCATATATCTTTACTCCAGTGTAGATATTTCTTACTGAAGAGAACTATAAATGTTCTAAGTGCTAATTTATATTGACACAGAGTAAACCCTACAACTTTGTTTGAAGATATAGTATATGTAGACATTAACTATGTATAAGTAATAGATTTATATTTGATATTGGAGGACAATTAAATTTTGTTTTAATCTCATCTAAAATTAATCATTATAACTGTTGGAAGTATTAAAACTAAGATATAATCTAGGTGTTTGGAGACATAATATTTCTTGTAAGGTAAGATTTTTCTTATTTACCATGATTGTTTGTTTTATCTATAATTTTTTACATCCTGCCCTTTTTTCTTATAAATTCATGAAAAAAAATTGATAATAATTATGTAATTATTTTTTTGAGAACATGGCAAAACACTTTTGCCATGTCGTGTACGAATTTTTATTAGTATATTAATGTATTAATGTTGTTTTTTCATAGATTTTACAGAATAATTTTATTTATTTCATAATAAATTTAAAAAACCAACACATTTAGGGAAACATAACTATAAATTAAAAAGGAACATTCAAAATAAATAAATCTGTGAGTTTTTACTTTAAGTATATAATGACACTGCCTTCTGTCAATTGATTTAGTTACATAGATAGGAAATAAAACATTAAATAAAAGATCAGGTTTTAAAATACTCCAATGAAAAGAGTATGAGTAAAGTTTGTGTTAATATAACTTATAATAACCAATGACTTTTTGCTTGGTCATACATATAATACAGTTTCGAAATTGACAAGACTATTGAAATTATTAATTTAATTAAGATCTTAAGAATTTCACAAAATTATGACCATTTCTTCAACCAGCTCAAGTATTTGGCTAATAACATCATTTACAACATCTGAAAACTGTGAGTTTGTTAAAAAATTTCCTAATTTTGAAAAACATGGATAAACTGTTACAGTAAAAAGAAAAACAAATCACTGTGTGAAAAAATGTTAATATTTTTTTTCCTGTAAGACACAAGAATGCTTGTAGTTATATTAGTAAAACATGTGTTTGACAGTGCTGACAGCAGGCCTGGTAGGGGACCCTACAGGAGACTGGCATGTTTTTCTCTGGTTTAGGTCTGAATCTCAGTAGGGGATCACTCTGTTAATCTTGATAAATTACTTTTGCACCTGAAGATAAGGATCTTTATTCACACAAAAAATTCCACAAGGAGATAATTAATTTTGCATTCCACAACCCAACAGAGTGATTTTCATAGTATATAAAATTTATGCATACTGTAAAATGAGAAATTAATGTGCATGAAAAATAAATGACTGAAAAAAGAAAATTCTATTGAATCAGAGTAAGCACTGAATAGATGTCAAGTATTGTTTCTTGATAAATGACCCAGAACCTTTGTTAGTTCTGCAGGCAATTGATTTATTTCAAAGACACATATCTATATTTCATGTATTTACAGTATTTAGGAATTTTAACCACTGGTTTACTTACATTGTTTAAAGTTACATTGCAGAAATGAACAAATTTGGTAACCTGACATTAAAACTGTAAAACCTGACTTTTTAAAAAAGAGCATAATGCCAGGCAGATGTGCTTTAATACAAAACTTATGTTTACCCTTTAAATGCTAAGCAGGGAGAAAGACTTACCCTACACTCCCAAGTATAGAGCCATTAAGTTGTCTGCACTTTTACCCTGAAATTTTATATTGTTTACCACTCAAATTTTATATTGCTGACCACTCAAATTATATATTGCTGACCACTCAAATTATATATTGCTGACCACTCAAATTTTATATTGCTGACCACCCAGTGTCAGTTAACTTATACTGATAACCCTGTAAAATATCTGTCACGTAAATACTAAGAAAGGTTACATATTAAGTCACTATGGCTGTTTAATATTGAACAAGGGAAGCTATTTTGTATACTAATAATACAAACCTTCATGAGTTTTGTCCCTTTGAAAAGAAACTGTAAGTCATTAGTTTACAATGCATGCATTTTAACATAAATTAGTACAAATTTATTGTTTAAAATATACATGTTATACTATACTTTTGAAGCTGTTATGTTTACACATCTTTTTTGTTTTTGGTGTTTCATTCTAAGTTAATAGTTTTGAAAAAAAATGAAAATGAACTGTTGTTGAATTACATTCACCATTAATACTTGTTCATATGTTTACCATCTGAGTTGATGGTGCTTTAAATAATATACACAGAGACACATAAGGTCTTCCTCAACCAAGCCATAATTGTGACATTAAGTGATTTTATATCTTGACCGAAACAGGAAGTGATAGATGTCAAATACTTATAATAAATTGTTCTTCTTAGTAATACTATAATTTAGGTTTTGATCAAATGATTTAAATCTGTGTTTTATGAAAGTAAAAAAAATGATTTAAAATATTTCAGATTTCTTGACCTGGCTGAATGAGGGATGATAAAAAAGTTTCTGGCTGTTCTTTTTGGCTTAGTTTTAGGCTACATGCTGATAGATGACTTTAATCCAGGTAAATACAATTTTTATACCCCCAAAAACGAAGTTTGGGGGTATATAGGAGTCACCCTGTGGTCGGTCGGTCGGTCCAGACGTCCGTTGCATTTTCCTTGTCCGGAGCATAACTTGAAGACTAATGATTGGAATTCAATATAACTACACACAAAAGTCAAGCACTTTGAGAGGAAGTGCAGTGCACAAGAACCATAACTGTATCTTGACTAATTACAGAGTTATTGCCCTTTGTTTCTTTTCCTTGTCCTGGGCATAACTTGAAAACTACTGGTTGGAATTCAAAACAACTTCATACAATTGTCAAACACAATAAGGGGAAGTGCAGTGCACAAGAACCATAACTCAATCTAAAGTAATTACAGAGTTATTGCCCTTTGTTACTTTTCCATTCCTTTCTTTTGTCCGGACCATAACTTGAAGACTAATGGTTGGAATTCAATATAACTACATACAATGGTCAAGCATATTGAGAGGAAGTGCAGTGCACAAGAACCATAACTCTATTTTGACTAATTACAGAGTTATTGCCCTTTGTTTCTTTTCCTTGTCCGGGGCATAACTTGAAAACTACTAGATGGAATTCAAAACAACTTCATACAATGGTCAAACACAATTAGGGGAAGTGCAATGCACAAGAACCATAACTCTATCTAAAGTAATTACAGAGTTATTGCCCTTTGTTACTTTTCCATTGCTTTCTTTTGTCTGGACCATAACTTGAAGACTAATTGTTGGAATTCAATATAACTTCATACAATGGTCAAGCACATTGAGAGGAAGTGCAGTGCACAAGAACCATAACTCTATCTTGACTAATTACAGAGTTATTGCCCTTATTTAATTTTCCTTGTCCAGAGCATAATTTGAAAACTACTGTTTGAAATTCAATACAACTTCATAGAGTTGTCAAGGACATTAAAAGGAAGTGCAGTGCACAAGAGCCATAACTCCATTTTGACAAAATACAGAGTTACTGCCCTTTGATTCTTTTCCTTGTCCGGAGCATAACTTAAAATGTACTGGTTGGAATTCAAAACAACTTCATACAATGGTCAAGCACAATAAGAGGAAGTGCAGTGCACAAGAACTATAACTCCATCTTCAGTATTTATAGAGTTATTGCCCTTTGTTTCTTTTCCTTGTCTTCTGGACTTATTACATTTAGTGATAGTTCTAGTTTAACTTCCTTCCTTCCTTGCTTCCTTCCTTGCTTCCTTCCTTGCTTCCTTCCTTGCTTCCTTCCTTGCTTCCTTCCTTCCTTCCTTCCTTCCTTCCTTCCTTCTTTCCTTCCTTCCTTCCTTCCTTCCTTCCTTCCTTCCTTCCTTCCATTTAATGAAGTCATCTTTGTGAATTATTTCATTTGTTTCAAGCTATGTTTCATTTACTTGAGCACTGTCTCTAATTAATTTGCAGAGCTATTATATCAGAAATATTTTGTATTTAAGTTTGCATGTCTTCTAATTTGAGTACAAACAAGTAGCCAAAACTGACATGGATATAATAACTCTTGATAATGTCTTAAACAAGTAAATTGTTGTGACAAATCCTGAAATCTTAATCAATAGAATATCTGGGGACATCCATCAGTGACCTACATATATTCATTTGCTTGCGATTGAATGTGCATGTATTATATTTTCATGATTGATAATAAGCTGTATTTGCTTAAGTCAAAATAAATATTCTGTTCTGTTCTACATTCTTATTTGGATTATAGTAAACTTTCATTATTCTAATTTTGTTTGTTTGTATTCTTGAATTTTTTTTCACAGAAACTGTGAAGGGGAAGAATGTATTTATTACTGGGGCATCAACGGGTATTGGAGAACAGTTGGCATATCACTACGCAAAACTTGGTGCTAACATTGTCATCACAGCAAGGAGGGAAAGGAGACTCAAAGAGGTGAGTAATAACATACTATTTGGCCATTCCTTACTCACTTGGATACATGATAAACTCACTTGGCTACATAATAAGCTCACTTGACTACATGATAAATGCACTTGGCTACTTGATAAGATCACTTGACTACTTTATAAGCTCACTTGGCTACTTGATAAGCTTACTTGGCTACATGATAAACACACTTGGCTACATAATAAGCTCACTTGACTACATGATAAACGCACTTGGCTACTTGATAAGCTCACTTGGCTTCATAATAAACTCACTTGGCTACTTGATAAGCTCACTTGACTACATGATTAACTCACTTGGCTACTTGATAAACTCACTTGGCTACTTGATAAGCTCACTTGACAACTTGATAAGGTCACTTGGCTACATGGTAAGCTCACTTGGCTACTTGATAAGCATACTTGACTACTTGATAAGCTCACTTCACTACATGATTAACTCACTTGGCTACTTGATAAACTCACTTAGCTACTTGATAAACTCACTTGACTACTTGATAAGCTCACTTGACTACTTGATAAGCTCACTTGACTACTTGATAAGCTCACTTGACTACTTGATAAGCTCATTTGCCTACTTGATAAACTCATTTAACTACTTGATAAACTCACTTAACTACTTGATAAACTCACTTAACTACTTGATAAACTCACTTGACTACTTGATAAGCTCACTTGACTACTTGATAAGCTCACTTGATTACTTGATAAGATCACTTGACAACTTGATAAGCTCACTTGACTACTTGATAAGCTCACTTGGCTACTTTATAAACTCACTTGACTACATGATAAACTCACTTGACTACTTGATAAGCTCACTTAATACTTGATAAGCTCACTTGACTACTTGATAAGCTCACTTGACTACTTGATAAGCTCACTTGGCTGCTTTATAAACTCACTTGACTACATGATAAGCTCACTTGACTACATGATAAGCTCACTTAACTACTTGATAAGCTCACTTGACTACTTGATAAGCTCACTTGACTACTTGATAAGCTCACTTGACTACTTGATAAACTCACTTGACAACTTGATAAGCTCACTTGACTACTTGATAAGCTCACTTGACTACTTGATAAGCTCACTTGGCTTCTTTATAAACTCACTTGACTACATGATAAACTCACTTGACTACGTGATAAGCTCACTTGACTACTTGATAAGCTCACTTGACTACTTGATAAGCTCACTTGGCTACTTTATAAACTCACTTCACTACATGATACACTCACTTTACTACTTGATAAGCTCACTTGACTACTTGATAAGCTCACTTGGCTACTTTATAAACTCACTTGACTACATGATACACTCACTTTACTACTTGATAAGCTCACTTGACTACTTGATAAGCTCACTTGACTACTTGATTAGCTCATTTGACTACTTGATAAGCTAGCTTGGCTACTGAAAAAGCTCATTTGGCTTTGTCATACCATGTTAAATTTGAATAAATATACTTTAAAATATCTCAGGAGTGCATAACAATATACATTCAAACGTGTATTTAGTGACCACGCAAGGGAAACACCAAAAATGGTCACTTAATGTAATGATCTCTTATGATGCATTCTGTTGTGCATTTTTCATTTAAAATAAACAAACTAGGTCTAATTCTAGTAACGGCTAATCAAGTTCAAGGTCAATTCAATGCAGTCTAAATATCAACAGAGAAGCCTATACACCATCACAGTAGGGGCGGAGCGTTGCTTTGTTCTATCAATTTTATTGGATAATATGCATCACACATGTACTTAACATCATTTGCATATGTTAAAAAAAATGGTTTGGTTAATATTGTTTTTCATACATTTGTGACATCACGAGGGGGCTTTCTCTAAAAACACTTGACAGGTAAAAGTGGTTGATTTATAAACTGATTGATCTCAATTAGCTGATTAACTAGTTGCCGCTGGGCGTGTTGAGCAAAAGTCGCTTAATACATTTAAGATGTAGAGAGAAAATGATCAGGAGAAATTTAAAGTGGTCGCATAAGACAGTCAAAGGGCTGCAGCTCTATGGTATTTTCTGATCTTTGCAATCTAAATCATACTGACTATCTGTATGTACTTTCCTATATAAGTTTATTTTTATATACTATAATTCATCTTACGCAGCGACAGCGTTTTGATTTTCTTCTATAACAGTTTGAGATTGATACATGTATATGGAATTTTGCATGAAAAAAAATAGAATTGCCTCGACTAGGATTTGAACCATAGGCCTCTCACACCCTCAACGAGACCGCTTATCTCTGCACCACGGCGAAGTAATACATATGTACCTTGAATAAAAACGAATACATTATGTAATTCTAAATTGAGAATTTCCATTTCGTGTTTGCAATCCTTATTAATTTCGAGGTATTTTGTTCACTATAAACCTGTTGTTTAACACTGATGAAAATAATTTAGCGAAAATCTTCTCGCCAAAACAGTCCGACATGTATATATTCCACTACTCGGCAGTCAGATTTATTTGTGTACTACGCTCTGGAGAATTCATTAATCGACATAGCTAAAAATAGCATTTTCATTGATTAAAATGATATTCATGATAATCCGAAGCTTTACGGAAATAGCCGAACATTTTTCATTGGGTAAAAAAGATATTCATCCGCGAAATTTGTGATTGTAACCTCACATTTCTATTGATTAATCTAAACTTTTAATGCACTGTAATTCGTTAAATGCCTACATTAAAAATTATTCTTTCTTTTAAATTGCTGGTTTTTAAGCAGTTTTGAGTGAGAACTACTTTGCGTTGTTAGGACTGTTAGGAAATCTTGCGTTAGACCGTGGATGTTAGCTATGTATTTACTGATCTTACGATCAGAAAATACAAAAATCGCTTTAACACATGGTTGCATGTAAGACATGTACTTACTTTAGAAGCTAATTTTGGGTGCTACTGCCAAATTACTTGTGCAAAATCTTGAAATTACTAATAATTAAATGTTATATTGAAAATATACTAGTATATTACCTAGTGTTGATCACAAGTAGGTATTAGAGCTACAAAATTACAAAGTAAAAAAGTATTTTATATTTTCAGGTGATAGAAAAATGTCGGGAGCTTGGAAACAAAGAACAAACATATGATTACATTGTGGCTGACATGCTTGATCTCAATTCTACAGGAAATGTTATACAGGTACACATACAAATTATCATATTCTACAGGAATTGTTATACAGGTACACATACAAATTATCATATTCTACAGCAAATGTTATACTGGTACACATACAAATTATCATATTCTACAGAAATTGTTACACTGGTACACATACAAATTATCATATTCTACAGGAATTGTGGTACAGGTACACATACAAATTATCATATTCTACAGGAAATGTTATATTGGTACACACACAAATTATCAATTTCTACAGGAATTGTTATACAGGTACACATACAAATTGTCATATTCTACAGGAAATGTTATACTGGTACACATACAAGTTATCATATTCTACAGGAATTGTTATACAGGTACACATACAAATAATCATATTCTACAGGAATTGTAGGTACACAAACAAATTATCATATTCTACAGGTACACATACAAATTGTCATATTCTACAGGAAATGTTATACTGGTACACATACAAGTTATCATATTCTACAGGAATTGTTATACAGGTACACATACAAATAATCATATTCTACAGGAATGTAGGTACACAAACAAATTATCATATTCTACCGGAAATGTTATACAGGTACACAAACAAATTATCATATTCTGCAGGAATTTTTATACTGGTACACATACAAATTATCATATTCTAAAGGAATTGTTATACTGGTATACATACAAATTATCATATTCTACAGGAAATGTTATACTGGTACACAAACAAATTATCATATTCTACAGAAAATGTTATACTGGTATACATACAAATTATCATATTCTACAGAAAATGTTATACTGGTACACAAACAAATTATCATATTCTACAGAAAATGTTATACTGGTACACATACAAATTATCATATTCTACAGAAAATGTTATACTGGTATACAAACAAATTATCATATTCTACATGAATTGTAATACTGGTACATATACAAATTGTCATATTCTACAGGAATTGTTACACTGGTACACAAACAAATTATCATATTCTACAGGAATTGTAACACTGGTACACATACAAATTGTCATATTCTACAGGAAATGTTATACTGTTACACATACAAATTGTCATATTCTACAGGAATTGTAGGTACACATACAAATTATCATATTCTACAGGAATTGTTATACTGGTACACATACAAATTGTCATATTCTACAGGAATTGTTACACTGTTACACATACAAATTATCATATTCTACAGGAAATGTTATACTGGTACACAAACAAATTATCATATTCTGCAGGAAATGTTATACAGGTACACATACAAATTATCATATTCTACAGAAAATGTTATACTGGTACACATACAAATTATCATATTCTACAGAAAATGTTATACTGGTATACAAACAAATTATCATATTCTACATGAATTGTAATACTGGTACATATACAAATTATCATATTCTACAGGAAATGTTATACTGGTACACAAACAAATTATCATATTCTGCAGGAATTGTTATACTGGTACACATACAAATTATCATATTCTACAGGAATTGTTGTACATAAACACATACAAATTATCATATTCTACAGGAAATGTTATACAGGTACACATACCAATTATCCTATTCTGCAGAAAATGTTGTACAGGTACACATACAAATTATCATATTCTACAGGAAATGTTATACTGGTACACAAACAAATTATCATATTCTACAGGAAATGTTATACAGGTACACATACAAATTATCATATTCTACAGGAAATGTTATACAGGTACACAAACAAATTATCATATTCTACAGGAATTGTAGGTACACATACAAATTATCATATTCTACAGGATATGTAATACAGGTACACATACAAATTATCATATTCTACAGGAAATGTAATACAGGTACACATACAAATTATCATATTCTACAGGAAATGTTATACAGGTACACATACAAATTATCATATTCTACAGGAATTGTTATACTGGTACACATACAAATTATCATATTCTACAGGAATTGTTATACTGGTACACATACAAATTATCATATTCTACAGAAATTGTTATACTAGTATACAAACAAATTATCATATTCTACAGGAATTGTTACACTGGTACACATACAAATTGTCATATTCTACAGGAATTGTTACACTGGTACACATACAAATTGTCATATTCTACAGGAATTGTTATACTGGTACACATACAAATTATCATATTCTACAGGAATTGTTACACTGGTACACATACAAATTGTCATATTCTACAGGAATTGTTACACTGGTACACATACAAATTATCATATTCTACAGGAATTGTTATACTGGTACACAAACAAGTTATCATATTCTACAGGAATTGTTATACAGGTACACATACAAATAATCATATTCTACAGGAATTGTAGGTACACAAACAAATTATCATATTCTACCGGAATTGTTATACAGGTACACAAACAAATTATCATATTCTGCAGGAATTTTTATACTGGTACACATACAAATTATCATATTATGCAGGATATATGTTCCATGATTGATCATTAGCAAAATGTGGATCTGTATCATAGTGTTGTACTGAAATGTGCCTTTATAATTTCAGTATTGTTTAGTGTAGAGTAATAATCTGTTAAATTCTAAGAAGGTATGCAGACATTTGTGATTGTATCCAAGTTGCCTGTTCTGATCAACATTAGTTAACACAAGCAGCTTTGATCTTCTATCAACATCACATTTACTATATTGATATAATTATTATCTTGTCAATGCAAAACATATATATGTATATGATGATCACATTTGTTATGCGTAATGTGTTAAATTTCTTTTATAAAATAGACTGTTGTGAATAAACTTGGAGGGAGACTAGATTACCTGGTGTTGAATCATATAATTCTGCTAGATCTTGGTGTTTGGACAGGCTCCCAACATAATTTATCATTGATTGATAAAGTAATAAATGTAAACTTCCAGTCCTATGTGTACCTAGCATCACACTCTCTACCTCATCTTGAAGAAAGCAAAGGAAGCATTGTAGTAGTGTCATCATTCGCAGGTATGATAAAACCAGTAAATAATTCATCCCACCATCTCTCTGTTAGATTTTCATATTTCAGAAAGTTGGATATATCTTGATGTTCTACCTGCAACAATGAATTTTTGATATACACACTTACTAATCCAATGTCTATGACTTTTGCAAGTAACATGTATCTTACAACAATTTTTTTACCCACTATAGGGAGGGGTTTGTTGCTTGTATTCAGGGATTTATACAAGCAGAATTATGAAAGATTTTTTTTTAGAAAGAGGGGTGGAGGAGTAGTTGGGTTGGGTTTTAGGTCACACTAACACAGTATTAAGTCATATGGCGACTTTCCAGCTTAACTGGTGGAGGAAGTCCTCATGTGCCCTTCCATGCACCTGAGTACAACCAACAAACATTCCATAAGCTATCTGGATAGCTTCATCACATGAAAGAATCCAAAGTCTGTTGTTAGGATCCATACCCACAGGAGTGTAGGGCAAATGGTTTGTAGCCATTGACCTTAACCATTTAGCCACGGTTGTCCCTTAAATTGTACAATAAATTTATTTAGTGACACAGCAGAAAGATAGAGGTCAAGCATTATTATTGTTTTCTATTTATAGGGAAATTCGGACAGCCATTTGTGTCAATATACTCTGCCTCAAAGTTTGCGTTAGATGGATTTTTTGGAGGTCTTCGGCAGGAACTGAAATTGCGTAACTGTGATATATCAATAACTGTGTGTGTGTTAGGTTTTATAGGTAAAATTTTGAATATTTTCAAATTATTTTATTTTATATGAAACATCTTATTGGTAAGATTTTGATATATATGTAACTGTTTATTTGATGTGTTAGGTAAACCATCTAAGATATTCATAAATATTTAACTGGTTGATAAAGTCACCTCATGATGATGGTCAAGTTGAGCTCAATGATAACTATATATTTCAATAGAAATGTTTGGGATAAATTCAAACACAACCAGCATTTTCCCGTATTGAACATAGAAAAACTGAAAGTGTGTGTTTTTATGCAATAAAATCACTGTTGACATTCTATATTTAGACATGTGAAGTTATTCCTCACATCTGCACCCCAAACAGTGATTTTACTGAGCGATAAAATCACTGTTTGGGATATATTATTTCTTAAATAAAAATCTGCCTAAAATATAAAAGACTGCACCATTCTTTTTATAAATTGAACGCTACAATTAAAATCCTATGGCAATGAATGTTATTTATTGTTATTGCTGGGATGGGCATAATGTCGTTATAAGTAAAATTTTGATATATCTTTAATTTGTATAACTGTTTTATGTTTGTAAGTAAAATACTTATGTTTGTATATTAGTACCTGTAAGTAAAATACTTGTGTTTGTAGGTTAGTACCTGTAAGTAAAATAATTATGTTTGTATATTAGTACCTGTAAGTAAAATACTTGTGTTTGTATATTAGTACCTGTAAGTAAAATACTTGTGTTTGTAGGTTAGTACCTGTAAGTAAAATAATTATGTTTGTATATTAGTACCTGTAAGTAAAATACTTATGTCTGTAGGTTAGTACCTGTAAGTAAAATACTTATGCTTGTAGGTTAGTTTCTTTAAGTGAAATCATTATGTTTGTAGGTTAGTACCTGTAAGTAAAATACTTATGTTTGTAGGTTAGTACATGTAAGTAAAATACTTATGTTTGTAGGTTAGTTTCTTTAAGTGAAATCATTATGTTTGTAGGTTAGTACCTGTAAGTAAAATACTTATGTTTGTAGGTTAGTACCTGTAAGTGAAATACTTATGTTTGTAGGTTAGTTTCTTTAAGTGAAATCATTATGTTTGTAGGTTAGTACCTGTAAGTAAAATACTTATGTTTGTAGGTTAGTTCCTTTAAGTGAAATACTTATGTTTGTAGGTTAGTTTCTTTAAGTGAAATCATTATGTTTGTAGGTTAGTACATGTAAGTAAAATACTTATGTTTGTAGGTTAGTTTCTTTAAGTGAAATCATTATGTTTGTAGGTTAGTACATGTAAGTAAAATACTTATGTTTGTAGGTTAGTTCCTGTAAGTAAAATACTTATGTTTGTAGGTTAGTTCCTGTAAGTAAAATACTTATGTTTGTAGGTTTAAATTCCTGTAAGTAAAATACTTATGTTTATAGGTTTAAATTCCTGTAAGTAAAATACTTATGTTTATAGGTTTAAATTCCTGTAAGTAAAATACTTATGTTTGTAGGTTAGTTCCTGCAAGTAAAATACTTATGTTTGTAGGTTAATTGCTGTGAGTAAAATACATATGTTTGTCAGTTAGTTCCTGCAAGTAAAATACTTATGTTTGTAGGTTAATTGCTGTGAGTAAAATACATATGTTTGTCAGTTAGTTCCTGCAAGTAAAATACTTATGTTTGTAGGTTAATTGCTGTGAGTAAAATACATATGTTTGTCAGTTAGTTCCTGCAAGTAAAATACTTATGCTTGTAGGTTAATTGCTGTGAGTAAAATACATATGTTTGTCAGTTAGTTCCTGCAAGTAAAATACTTATGTTTGAAGTATAATACTTATGTTTGTAGGTTACATGTTACAGGTAAGATATTGATATTTCTATAACTAATTGTATATGTAAGATGTTATGGTATGATTTTGATAACTCTATTTTCTGCAGTGTTTGACTGTATTCACTTGTATTTTTCAGGTACAGAAAATGCAATAAGTCAGCTTGAAAGCTACAAACAAAATTTGTTATTAAAGCTTGTGACAGCAGCATCACCAAGTGATACCGCCTTACAGATTATTCGGGGTGGAGCAAAACGTGTTCGTCAAATATATTATCCTATGATGCAAGTTTTCCCACTAGTTATGTTGAGGGATTTGTTTCCAGAAATGTGTGATACTATAAATAGATTTGTTTACACGTTAAATTCATAGAAATAAGTGACATTAAATGATATTTCTCATCTTAATAAATGTCACAGTTTTCTAATTAAAAAGGATAAATGTTTTTGGCATAAGAATATTTATAATTGATTTAGCCAGTCAGTGGTAAATATACTACAAAAAGCTCACCTCTCTAGCAATAAAAATGATGATGTTACTTTCTTAATCCTTAAAAAACAACACATGCTATTGATATTAAATATTGAGACCCATGCAAAATTTTTATTTCTTCGTTTTGAATTTTTCATTAATTATTTTGTAAATGTCCTTTAATTAATACACTGGGCAGTCACAGGAACAAATTTTTTCCCCTTATAAAGAATAAAATAAATGGGTCAGGTAAGAGCGTTAAGATTTCACAATAGTTGTCATAGTGAGCTCTGGAAATGTTAAAGGACATGTCAAATCACTGACACTTGTTTCAATCATACATGTTTAAATGTTTTATAAGTACTCTTTGATTTGTTAGGCATCTAAATTTCGTGCAACATATATAGATATATTTATGCTTCAAACCCTAAATATATAGAATTTTAGCATGATTTGAGTACATAAGATTGTTTTAATATTTTTGTCATTAATTTGCCTGAGTCATTAAAACTTACAAATTATATGTTTCATAACTTATGAAATAAGTACAAATGTATGACCATAAAACTTACAAAATATGTTTAACCTTAATACAATTTACATATAGTTACAAAATATGAAAACTGTCACTGTCACATTTGTCATTTAAAAGTTTCAAAATATGCTTCATTTTATAACGTACAAAATTTATGTGTCCTTAAACCTTACAAGATATGTTGGCTTTGTCATTAAAACTTTAGATATGTTGGCTTTGTCCTTAAAACTTAAAATATATGTTGGCTTTGTCCTTAAAACTTTAGATATGTTTGCCTTGTCCTTAAAACTTCAGAGATAATTATGTTGGCTTTGTCCTTAAACCTTACAAGATATGTTGGCTTTGTCCTTTAAACTTACAGATATGTTGATTTTGTCCTTATAACTTACAAGATATGCTGGCTTTGTCCTTAAAACTTAAGATATGTTGGCTTTGCCCTTAAAACTTACCAGATATGTTGGCTTTGTTCTTAAAACTTAAAAGATATGTTGGCTTTGTCCTTTAAACTTACAAGATATGTTGGCTTTGTCCTTAAAACTTACAATGTATGTTGGCTTTGTCCTTTAAACTTACAATATATGTTGGCTTTGTCCTTAAAACTTACAAGAAATGTTGGCTTTGTCCTTATAACTTACAAGATATGTTGACTTTGTCCTTAAAACTTACAAGATATGTTGACTTTGTCCTTAAAACTTACAAGACATGTTGACTTTGTCCTTAAAACTTACAAGATATGTTGGCTTTGTCCTTAAAACTTACTTACAAGATATGTTGGCTTTGTCCTTAAAACTTACAAGATATGTTGGCTTTGTCCTTAAAACTTACAAGATATGTTGGCTTTGTCCTTAAAACTTACTTACAAGATATGTTGGCTTTGTCCTAAAACTTCTAAAAAACTTCCTAAAAATGTTTGCCCTTAAGTCTTACAAAACGTGATTGATTGAAAACGTTTTATCAGCATAATTGTTCTGATACAGAGATATATATAAATTACATGTATATATTGTCTTACTTTCTGTTGGATTAACTTGTGTATATAAACATGGAATCAAGACTTATACAGAATGTAATATGATGGAATGTATAACATAGTTTCTAGTCAATATAGTGTACAATATGTTTATTGTGTTATTGTAAAAGTTATTACTTGTATACATGTATATTTTTTTTATTTTGCTTTCCTAGATAGTGACATTATATTTTTTATGATTTCACAGTAACAATTATAAAATGATTATTTTCACAGTAGCCAGACTATAATATTATCTGAATGTGGATATAAAAGTATGCTTCTTTATAAGTGGATATAATCATCAGAAATACAATCTGTTGTATTAGTACAATATGTTTTGAGGATGTTAAGAGCTCCAAGTATGACTTAATGACTTAATAAGGGCATGAAATAAGTAGAAAATTTCCTCTGTGTTGATGTTTGGTAGGGATTTTATTTGGGAGTGTAAGATAGGGTAGTTTTATTGTTGATGCTTTATACATTCGATCTTCAATTCAATAAAAACACATATTATGTTAATGACTCAATGCACATGTATATATCTGAGTTTCTTACCGTACACTGCAATAATATACAATACTTTGATAAACAGTTTAAAAGCATAAACACACTGATATTGGGTTTGTTAGTTAAATTGTTAGTCCAACATGCCATTATTAAATGTGTTGTTATGCCACCGCAGCATCTGCGATGAGGTGGCATATAGCGATTCACCTGTGTGTGTGTGTGTGTGTGTGTGTTTGTTTGTTTGTTTGTTTGTGTGTGTGTGTGTTATATAGATTATATAGTGAACTTAAAAAATCTTCTTGTGAAAAACCACTTGTCCAATTTCAACCAAACTTGGCAGGATTGATCCTTGGGTGAAGGGCTTCCAAAGTTGTTTAAAGAATTTCATTCCATGCAGAAATCTGGTGGCCATGGCAACCAAAAGGAATTATAAGAATAAATTAAAAAAATCTTCTTGTAAAGACCCAAAAGGCCTAGAGCTTAGATATTTTGCATAAGGCATTGTCTGGTAGACCTCTAGCAAGATTGTTCAAATTATAGCCCTGGGGTCAAAATCGGCCCTGCCCCGGGGGTCATTGATTTTCACTATATATAGATATAGTAAAAACTTATAATACCTTCTTGTAAAGACCCAAAAGGCCTAGAGCTTAGATATTTTGCATAAGGCATTGTCTGGTAGACCCTTACCAAGATTGTTCAAATTATAGCCCTGGGGTCAAAATCGGCCCCGCCCCAGGAGTCTTTGATTTTCACTATATGTACATATAGTAAAAACTTAAAATACCTTCTTGTAAAGACTCAAAAGCCTAGAGCTTAGATATTTTGCATAAGGCATTGTCTGGTAGACCTCTACCCAGATTGTTAAAATTATAGGCCGGGGATCAAAATCGGCCCCGCCCCGGGGGTCATTGGTTTTTCTAAAATGTATATAGTAAAAACTTATAGTAAAAACTTTAAAACAATTTCTTCTAGCAATTGACAAATGCTAGAGGTTAGATATTTGGCATGAAACATTGTGAAGTGAACTTCTAGCAAGATTGTTCAAATTATAGCCCTGGGGTCAAAATTGTCCCCGCCCCGGGGGTCATTGATTTTCAATATATACATATAGTAAATAAAAAAAAAAATCTTATTGTCTGAAGGTACAAGGCTTAGAGCTTTAATATTTGTTAAATGATATCAGCTATAGGTACTCTACCAAAGTTGTTCAAATTTTGCCTCTAGTGTCAAAATTAGCCCCGCCCCAGGGGCCATAGGTTTTCCTTATATGTATATAGTAAAAACTTAAAAAAATCATCTTCTCTAAATTTACAAAGGCTAGAGTTAAGATATTTTGCATGAAACATTATGTAGTGAACCTCTAGCAGGATTGTACAAATTATAGCCCTGGGGTCAAAATTGGCCCCATCCCCAGGGGTCATTGATTTTCACTATGTACATATAGTAAAAAATTAAAAAATCTTCTTGTCTTAAGGTACAAGGCTTAGAGCTTTGATATTTGGTATATAGTATTATCTTTTGGTCCTCTACTAAAGTTGTTTTAATTATGCCCCTAGTGTTAAAATTGCACTGCCCCAGAGGCGATAGTTTTCCTTATATGTATAAAGTAAAAACTTGAAAAATCCTCTTCTCAGAATTGAAAAATCCTCTTCTCTGAATTGACAAAGGCTAGAGGTTAAATATATGGCATGAGACTTTGCGAAGTGAACCTTTACCAAGATTGTTCAAATTATAGCCCTGGGGTCAAAATTGGTTCTGCCCGGGGGTCATTAATTTTCATTATGTACATATAGTAAAAAAATAAAAAATATTTTTGTCTGAAGGTACAAGGCATAGAGCTTTGATGTTTGCTATATTATATATATCATCTATTGGTCCTCTACCAAAGTTGTTGAAATTTTTCCCCTGGTGTTAAAATTGGCCGTGCCCGGGGGCAGTGATTCTCATTATGTACACATAGTAAAAACAGAAAATAAAACAAATGTTTTCTGAATGGGAGAAAGCTACAGCTTAGATATTTGACTTGAAATGTTGTTTGGTGGACCTGTATCAAGATTGTTTTGAATTAAACCCTTGGGTCCAAAATTTTGCTTTGCCCAAGGGGACAGTGACCTACTTTCTTGTCCTTTGATGTACAGCAATGAAATTTTGACCATGTGCACAGTTTTAGTTGTAAAATTGAATTTTGATATCAGGTGACCTAGATTTTGATGATGTGACCTACTTTCTTGTCCTTTGATGTACAGCTATGAAATTTGAACCATGTGCACAGATTAAGATGTAAAGTGAACTTTGATATCAGCTGACCTAGATTTTGACAAAGTGTCTTACAGTGTTGTCCTTTGATGTAGTCATGAAATTTAGGCTGTTTGAAATATGACCTTCACCACCAAATTCACTAGACTTGAGTGCATTGATATATTCCTACTCTGATCTTTTATTGAGTTAACAACAGATTTAACCACTAATCTGATAAGAATTAGATAGGTCAGGGATCTATGCATTATGACAATCTACAAAATTGTATAGAAACAAAAAAAATCTGTTCCTACACTACTATTTAGTGTTGTATTAATGCGGTGGCATAGCATTTTTCTCAAATGCAATCTTGTTTTTCATTTAATTATTGGAATCTTACTTATGTATCATTTTTACACTGACCAATTTGCATAATTAGACAATTTAACCCTGTACCTAATATTTTACAGGTTATATTCTTTGTGAACACGGAGCCGGTAACCTAACTATATGTAATGTTAAATGATTAATTATCTATGTATTAGATTTGTTTATACCAATCAGTGATTCATCATTTTAGGGGTTACACTTATGTTAAACAATGTAATGCATCTTTTTTCTTGCATTAATATCTGCAGAAGCCCTCAGACTGCCCTGCAGAAGCCCTCGGACTGCCCTGCAGATTCAGGCTTTTAATGTGTCCTCATATTCCTGCAGATGTTAATGTACAAAAATAGGTGCATTAACCCTCTAGTATACTATTTTAACTACTGTCTATTGTAGACATTTGTGTAAATTTTTATTTTTTCTCTATTTCATAATGTATACATGTATTCATTATTCTGTATAATACATTAAAATTTTACCTATTTTATCATTTAGCCAAAGGATGATTTGTTTGGAC